CCTCTACAAGTCATTTTCAAAACGCTGTAACTTGGTCATTTTTTGACTTAGAGAGCTCGGATTTGTCTTGTTTTATCGGTAATTGGCCGGTCTTTATGACTACACAAACCGCATTTTGATATCTACTACCGTTCGTCAATAAGAAAAAAACGTGCAGTACTTTTGGGACAACCTATGTATTTTGGGCTCTGAATCTCATCTTGACATTGATTTTCGTGCGGGTGATGTGTGATGTCATTATCCATAGCTAGCTGAAGCGCGGCAGGTAGAATGAGCGGTAAATGAGTTGTCTTCACGGTTAAGTGAATGTGTTCAAACATGTGTTCAATGGCTTGTTAGAAGTTGGACGGAAAGGCTGTACGTTCGGTCGCATTTATGTTAAAGAGCGCGGTTCGCGGGGGATACCAATGGCACCAACGTCGTACCATGAGCGCATCGTTGCCGAATAAGATAATTTTTTTTTACAAATATTATGATGAGCCAGGGGACGATGCCACTCAAAATCTTCTTCAGAAAATCGATTTTTTTTAAAAAGAGAAACAGTTCTTAAAATTCATTGAGGAATGTGAGTGGCACAATTTTATTCTGAAAACGTCTTTTTTCTTGTATTTTCCGGAGAAAATACACTATTGTTTTTCCTTTGCTTCAAACTTTGCAAAACAACGAAACGTTCGACAAAATTTGAAGCCTTACTCTCAGAAATTAAGATAGAATTGCGCAGTGAACGTATGTCCGTCTGCTAAGAAGCGCTTCAAGCGTGAAATATCCGTTGTTCTATCTTCGCTCTACAACGTACTTACTCCAGCAAATCTGACATGGTTTTAGAAAATATTAATGAAGTCCGAGCAAACGCTGCTTACATGTCGAAACATTTGCTAAATTTTATGTCAAGGCACCCTGAAAAAAGAGATCGCACGATGCAATGTGACCGATCCATGACATCATTTGGTTCAGTTCTAGGCCAGTCTAAAGCATTTTTAACGAGGAATAACTCAACTACCAGTCTACAGCATCATGTAAATAGAATTGTGTCGCATTATCCTCCCAAGTAGCGATACTATGACGCATGTTCCATTCGTCGTCGAAGCGCCCCGATGGTCAATGAAACGGGGGTCATGACCCCTACCGTTAGCATGGGCTCCGAATTCGCGGTCCGTCGGGCAGCCAATTGCGTCACCGCGCCTGCAGCTCGGAGCTTGAGCCGGCCCGGGCTTTATTTTATCTCGGAGGAATCAATAAATAACCCTAGTGGGTTTTTAAATGATGAGTACTAATAATAGGTGCCATAAATTCAAACGTTGCCAATCTGCTTAGGTGAGGCGCTCTAATCATCCCTCGTTTGATAGGTTTATTAGCGCAAGTCTATGGGAAAATCACTGCATGTGACCAAGTGACTAAGTGCAATTAAACTGCATTGCCTTCTGCCCGTCCGCCTCTGCTATCCACTCGAACGATTCCACAATTTGGTTCCGTTCGTTGAGTTCGTCCTACATCCTCTGCGGTCTTTCAATCTCTATCGATTTTTAAAATTGGCATCCTGACTTGATTAGAACGGTATTAAATTGAAATGAAAACCTAAAGTGAATTTAATAATAACGTGAACTTGATGATGCCACCTTCTGAAGAGATATATTTTTCAACACTGGTTTGAACTCATATGTTAAATGTGAACAGGGAGATTTGAAAATGATGTTAAGTGTAGACAGGGGAACTAAGTTTAATTTGAAAACAGAATTAAATTGAACTTTGTTTCCCTAAAGGACTGGAGCAAAAATTGTTCAAGACAAGTGCATAACTATACTCAAATCGATTCTTGTTTCTCTTGATTCACTTTCGTTGAACAATTCAAATATAAAATCGGATCAAAATTTCATCTGAAACATTTTAGATTTACTGAAAGCATATTCCCAACTCTTAACTCATTACGAAATTTCTAGGATAGTCAATGCACATGCTCTTCAGTTCCACCAAAATGATCTTGACAACTCGCGCGAAAACCAAGTCATTCGGACAACAGTAGAGTGTTTTTTTTCCTTCTAAAATTCTGTAAACAAATTTTTTTACTCAATAAAACGCTCCATAGAAATACCTAAGGTCCTATCTTCTACGTTTGTTCACAAATGCCGGAATGTCCACGTAAATAATATGAACCTCTCCCACCAGCTATTCCTTTTTCTGTCATCTCTGCATATCTACAGTAAAATTGCAGACACGCGTACCTCGGTTTGCGACGCCGCAGACATTCAATCATAATCTATTTTTTTAAATTGAAAATCTGATGTGCTCAACTCTATTTATTTTAAAAAGTCTCTGATATTCCCTCTCTGTGTGAGGAATTTTACATGAGCATTTTAAGCGGTGAAGTTGGGTCGTCCTCTTTTGATAATATAAAATTGAAATGGAGATTCTAAAGTGCCGTAAACAAAATGCGCGTTTTTGTAGTTTCACCGTTGTTCTCTTCCTGTTTCCTGTCACTCATTTTCACCAGCATCACACTGAAAAAAAAATCGTGGGGTATTTACTAAGAAAAGGGTAAAATTACCAAGAATTCAGGGTTCTATTCGATCCCAGTTTTTTCTTGGTAAAATTACCATTTATGGAATTGGCAATTTTACCGAGAAATCTCGGTAAAATTATTGACTTTCTCGGTAATTTTACTGGACTCCGGTAAAAACGCCAATATTTTTTATCGACTGAGGTAGAATTACCGAGAAGAAATGCCAAAATTACCGGGAATTGATTACCAATAAAAGTGGTATTCTTACCTGAAAAAAAAACAGTAAAAATACCGGTTTTTAGGTAAGCTTACCAGTCTATCTTGGTAAAATTACCAATAATTGGTGAAAAAAATTGAGATGGTAAAGGTACCAACGGACCTTGGTAAAAACGCCGAGAATTTTTTTTCAGTGCAGTACAGAGTGGGAAAACGAAAGTTTTACTCTTACTTGTGTTGAACGGTGAGCAGTCAAAGCATAAGCAGCGCTTAAAAGTGTCGGGCGTATGAAGTGCTAAGTGCTAATGCACTCGGCGTTTCAAAAACTCGCGATGATTTATAGGGATTAAAAGTTATCAAAGTTGCAAGTCTGAAAATGCAGCGAGACACTGATACAATGGCAGCAAGAGAAAGAGCGCAAATAAAAAGAGCCCAGATAGCGTGACCTTCCATTTAATAGGTTTGAACTCTTTCGAACAAGTCGCACCAGCTTAAATCTGAGAAAAATATCTCCGCGCATACCCCTGCGCAGCACTATCGCACATAGTTTATTAATGTTTCAGCCGGTCCCAGTGGTCTTGAATCAGCTTGAATCTATACTCGGTTAGGTTTGTGAAATATTATATTCAGCTGTATCTATTACAAGCGGACAGATACAGTTTTATTCCGAGTTGTTGATTTTGATCGTATTGCCCGCCCCCTCACCATTTTCTCGGGTATTAGTGTTTATATTTTATTGATGAACATTAATAATGTGATTGTTATTGTGCGAGCAATCGCGCTGTGAAATCTGTATCATGATTAGAGCGGCTTGCTAGAGAATCCATCCAATGGAGGACTTGAGTGCATTATCTATTCGGAAAGAGGGTTGCCAACATCATTTCTCTACTCCGGCGATTAGCGTTTGTGCTTTGATGATTCTTCAAGATTCTCTGTCGTCCTCTCTTCAGACCTCGGTCTTCGGCTTTGGCTCGAAGATTTTCCTGTCATTTTAAGCCAGGGTGGCAAAATTTCATTAAAAATAAAATCTTGAGATCTCACGTGAAATATTTCATGAAATTTATGAAAGATTTTGAAAAATACCGGCGAATTCAAGAATGGAAGTACATTCGTAAAAGTCAATTTTAGCGTTCCCATTTCTCGGAACTAGTTCCGAATTCCGGAAATTTTAAGATTGTCCTCAATTTTCCTGACTTCTCCCCGGAACTTCTGAAATTCCCGAAATGTTCCGGATTTTTTGCATTTTCCGGAACTTTCTCTGAACCTTTGGAAAAATCTCAAAAGATTCCCAAAGCTTTTGACGGACATGGAATGGGAGTACTGACAATGTAAATTTTTCCAATATAATTTACAATAAATAAATCAATCAATTAAAAACAATAGTGTATTTTCTTCGGAAAATACACTAAAAAATATCGCGTGGTATGAACCTTTGTTTCTACTGACGTTTTTCTAAAACCTATCTCAGGGAGCGTCGACATTTGCACTGCCTCAAAGCTAATGTTGGCTGGTTGTCCGATGAGTGGACAGAACCACCCCTAAGGTTGTGGGTGGGTGGCATGATTTAAACGGGTGAGTGGTCTCAAGATTGTTCCACGTTCGCGCACGCTCCCTCCTCGATGGCAGTGACAGCACGAAACTGTTTAATATATTCTTTTGTTTCAGGTGGTAGATTCTGCTCGTTTTCGCCGTGCATAGAGCAGGTCAAACGAACTTGCGAAGCGCTCCACGATAGCGGCTTCAGGGAAATCCAAACGATGGAATGTCTCCAGAGGGAGCTCACCGTCCGATCCAGAACCGTGCCAATTTTACACCCTGACAAGGTATTTTCGCTTGTGAACCATTTTCCGCGGGAATGTTTAAAATGCGCCCAGTGTTCGAAACTCCGCTTCGAGTTTCAGGAGCCGTGTAGCGCATCATGCTTGATTTTTAGGGACCCTTGAAGATTTTTAGGGGCCGAATTCACTTTTTGTCTATATATCACAGTGCATTTAGTGAAAAGTTAAACGCAATATGTTTTAGTTAAAGAACTAGTAGCTGTAACTTGGGGGAAATTTCGAAAAATCACTAAACAGAAAAATTATTATTTATTTGAGGGAGGGGGGGCGAAGGCAATTATCAGGGGCCAAGTTGGCGCAGAGCCTTCATTTTTTAGGCGCCACGACCGATTTCTTAGGCGCGTTGGCGCCTGTGAGTTTCGAATACTGAATGCGCCCAAATATTACCAGATACCGCGAAATATTGTATTTTGATAGTTAAAATCAATCGGTTGAGTAGGTAAACCGCAAGAAAAAGTAACAGAACTCTTTTCGTAATCAGGGAAGTAACAGGATTGCCACAGTCATGGAATACCGGGAAATGTCAGGGAGTTCTAAAAAGTCAGGGAAAACCTGGAAATATCAAGGAAAAATTGTTGATTTACCTTTATCCGCTCTCTAGAATGGATTTGAAGTCTAGAACAACAAATTTTATAATACTCACTTTTTCTTTTTCGCCCGATTTGAAATTTCGGTTGTCAACACCTTAAACTTAAAACACAATGGCCATTTCGGCTTTCTCAGCCATCATCAGGTGATTAAAAAGTAGAACGAACTAAAATCAAACGAAACGGAACTTAAAACATTATATTATCACCGGCGACGCGTAGCGAGTCTCATTCGCACTCGGCACTCGCCAGTCTCGCGACGCGTCGCCGGTGATAATATAATGTTTTAACTTCCGTGCCGCTTTATTTTAGTTCGTTCTTCGTTTTTAATCACCTGATGATGGCTGAGAGAGCCGAAATGGCCATTGTGTTTTAAGTTTAAGGTTGACAACCGAAATTTCAAATCGGGCGAAAAAGAAAAAAGTGAGTATGATACTGATACAACCCGATAAAGGAGGAAAAAGAAACACAACAAATTTTGCCTGAAAACTATCTCAAATTATGTCTTTTTGGTCACATGGCATATCTTCAATTGTCAGGGAATTTTCATTTTCTTTTTGTGGCAAACCTTCAATGAAACACGGAGTAACACATGCTTTTGGTTGATTTGCTTTGTGGTTGTTTTTCCTGTGTCAAATCGACGAAATTTTAGTGTTGAAAATCTTTGACCTCTTCAAAAAAAAAGAAAGAAAAAAAAGAAGAAAAAAAGAAGAAGAAAAAGTAGTCGCCAGCTGCCGTATCAAACCAGGATCACATCGGTGGTAATTCATTGCGACAGCTACTCGCAAGTTGCAACCTCCGAATGTATGGAGGAAACCATGAGTACACAAGTCCCGCAGGACACTTTCTTCGTGATCCGATGTCACCGAGTAACCGACGGTTTGAGTCGATTTAACACAAAATAGTGTGGAGGAACCGAGTCCCTTGGGTTGACCTGCCACAAAAAGTAACACGAAAATGTTTAACTGGGTACCAGGTTCCAATCCTGGTCGTGACGACAAATTTTCGAGAAACGGACGTGCGGGTCTATTGAAGCAAATTTAACATCAATCAGCAATAAAAAACACTCGTTTAAGACTCGTTTAATCAATGAAACAAAAACAGCAATAGCAGATTCAGTCATCTTAATGAGAAGAAAAAACCAGCTCGTGCAGTGTGTTTATTGTCTTAATTTTTTATTCCTGGTTTCAGGAAGAAGAATCCGAAGAGAAAATGACCTTTACTTCCGCTCTGCCCCAACCCACGGTTCCCGGACACACCGGTTACTTGACGTTTGCAACCTTACCACCAAACTGAATTTCTGCCTTCACGTGCCATTGTACCTGAATTACACTCTAAGGCGTCGCAAATTGTGTTCCTCTCCGTCGCTTTTAAAAGATCATTCCCGAGAATTTCAATCGACACGATCTGTTTTCATGTTGACTTTTTTGTTCAATCATATTGATTGCGCCACAGTGTTTAATGTGTCAATTCATTTTCACAAAACATTTTGTATCGTTTCTTGTTCATATGAGCGTTATATTTTCTGACTAATACAATTTTTGTTAAATATCATCCCTTTGCAAGTCCTGTTTTTAATTTACTTTCGAATTTTTCATCTTCTTGAGCTAGCTTTGCTGTATGTTGCCCGATGGGCAGACGTTCCTTTGCTATCCGCCGATACAACTTCGAATTACAGAGCGTCTGGCGAAAAGATTTCGAATTACAGAGCGTCCAGAATGTCAATTCGAATTACAGAACCCGCGAAGCCGGTCACTTCGAATCATAGAGCTAATTAACGAGTCGGCTTGGCGCTCAAAACTTCGAATTATCGAGGGGGACAGATTACATTAATTGAACATTTCCGAATGAAAGGGTTTTCTCAAGGGAATTAACCTAGCTTTCGAATTATAGAGCTATTCGAATTAAAGGTCTTCGAATTAGCGAGCGTGCACTGTATAATTGAAAACAAATGCAAACATTTGTACAAGCAAACTATTTCTGATCCTAAGTCGTCCACATTGCCTAGTCATTTATTGAAGGCGAACTAGTCAGAAACACTCTTTACGTCGAATAATTAGTCTGCAACTCCATTTCTACAAAAATCAGCTTCACATGACAAAACTGTTTGAAGCAACTATTACTGCTCCCAAGTCGCTCACATTGGTTAGTCAGTTATTGAAGGCGAACTTGAACCGCACAACACGAATGTACCGCTACAAAAATTGAAATTACAGAAGGAAAAATGTGTAGGTTTTTAAAATTTTAAGATAGGTTCGAACTTACCTTGGAGATTCTCAAAAGTACTGAATTTATTCTTTTTTACTGTTTTTTATGATGCAGTGGCGAATCATAGCTATCGCTTTCAATAATTCATGATTTAAGTTGTTGTCTTGAATTTTACTCCAGATTCGTTGAAATTATCTTTTGCGTGATGCTGTGTTAAGAAATTACCAAACCCGTTTTCAATCTCTAAGTAAACCATGTGTGACCTCCTGAGGAGATGTGCTGACTCAAGGAAAACCAGAGCACGGCCGTCAGTCTGCCTGCACTTGTATCTAGGTATAGCAAGACATAATGCACATTGGCAAATGTGTTGCGAGCGATTTCTACTGCTTTATAGCCGCCTACAATGCCCAGTCATTTTTTTTTTTTTTTTTGGCGATCAAACTAGGAACACTGCACGCATAATAATTTGTGTGTAACTTCATCACACTAGAAATCTAATGAACATGGGCAAACTGTTTTAAACAACTGGATTGCATTTAGTAACAAAAAACCAGCGCCACTACAGTGTTTTGAAAATGTTGCTTCTCTATAATCAATCATCTGAAAAATCTCCCAGAATAGCACGTAGTTTTTGCTGACCAAAAAATCGTTAAATTTAAAGGAAAATAATTTTATATATTTTAATAATGTATGATTTAGTAAATTTCATGAGCTTTGTAACCGTTTGATTTATTATTTATTTATTTTAAAATTTACATTGCGACGTTTTGGTGGCGTATTTCCACCTTCATCAGGCACAGACCAAATAAATGTTTAATAATGTATATATATGCTAAGTCTTTTGAAATGAAAAGGAGAAGTCTTACAAGTTTGAAAACACTGTAATCTCGCTGGTTTCTTTTTGCTGGATGCGATCTAACTATTAAGGCTCTCAAGGCACGCATAATGCCTAATCAACCTATTGAAGGCGAACTGGTGCGAGTGTGCGTAAAGAGCGCTGAAAAATCTGAGCTTTCATTAAAACGTTAACGGTAAGTAACATATCAGAGGAAGGGAATTGATAGTAATGAATAAGAGTCAGATCAAGAGAAGTAGGAGAGCACAAAGTAATTATTTTTATTCTTCGTAGGCCGCGCGGTGATAAATCAACCTGGTGAACTAACTAACAGCGAGACAGGTGTTTTCAATTGAAGATACGCCGGAGTATTGAAGTAGTAAGCCTGGACCAGGGGCTTCTCCGTCTCTTGAACACTGCAAAGTTGTGGGTGCATAAAAACTATAACGATCTCGTAGACGAACTGACGCGAAGCATGGACACATGAAACATCTCAGCGATGCCAAGTTGTGCGTTTTCTATGGATTATCCATCCTTCGAGGAAGTATGTTATTAAAGCACCCCTTATAACAGGAGTAAAACAAGGGGGGAAAACGGACACAAGGCTAAAATACGACACTAAATAACCCGAGACGTTTCGACTCAAAACTGAGTCATTTTCAGACGGAAAATACAATAAAAATTAAAAAATTTTGATGAAAAATACTTGAGACCCTTTTTTTGTAATTTTTAATTTTTTTTTGAAAAAAAATGACACAGTCTTGAGCCGAAACGTTTCGGGTTTTTTATTATTGTATTTTAGTCTTATTGTTTTCCGTTTTCCCCCTTGTTTTATTCCTGTTACCATTGTCTCGGGCTGCTTCGTAAAAATGTGTACCTATAGTACCTGTATAGCGAGAGTATGGGCAGCTCGCTTCATGGAGGGTTTACCGTCTCAGAAGGCAGCCAACCTTCTTGTACTCAAATTTCACTGCCAATCTTGAAATTCCAATATTAAACCAAGATGACCAAGAATTATTATAGATAAGCGTTCTCCCGCAAAAATGAGTAAATTTATGCAAAAAAATAAGTCAAATACGTGCCATTCAAACGACGGATCGTAACAATTGTAATAACTCATTTTTGATCATTTGAATTCATGCCTTTTTGGGCCCTAACTTTCTACGCGGAAGCACTAGTGGAGGCTTAATAGATTTTTGGAGTTTCACACCTGCCTATTCTCTCACTATACAAATGTTAACACTCTTATATGTCACACACACTTACACTCCCATATGCTGCCCTATATCTATGTCATTGGAATTCAGGGGGGAATTCCAATTTTTTTTAATTTTTTTTTTTTTTTGTATTTTCTAGTAATAATGATCATCCTTATTAATTTACATATAAATCACCCAAGCAAAGAAAAATTACAGCAAAAATTACAGTTTGCTTTGAGAATAGACGCCTCCGAATGACACGTTAAGTATTACTTTAAAGAGAAAAAATAATTCAATAAATTGTTTTAAAACCCTTCGTTTTATGACCTTCCTTTACTCTCTTCCCTCGGTTAGCTCTTCTCTACGGTGAATTTTCTAACGTTTAAACTTCAATTAGATGGGGTTTCAGGTAACTTACTGAAAATGGGACCGTACCCTTATTATAATTCCCCAAAATTAAGATAATAGACAAATTTACCATGACAGTTTTTAGTGTATAGAAACGTCTACTCTCCTTACCAGTCGGCAGGAATTTAGCGGCAACGTGACGAACTATTTGATAGCCGGAGCAATGTGTGCTGGTCAAGTACGAGCATGGGAAAGGGATCCATGGCGCGCTCGTTGGTCAGCGTATACCCGCGGAGAAGCCACAATCGCGGCTCCTCAGGTGCACTTCTCGGCATGGCACAGCGTGGTGCAAATTGCATTCTTTATGATTTATAAGAGGCGCCGTTTAATAGCCACCTTAGTGAAATTTGATCACTCGCACTGCCCTCCGTTTCCTCGTCGATCCATCTACTGAATTTTTATCGCCCTCAATCATTTGCTTATTTCAACCCTCGCCCACCTGCGAAATGGGCGAAGGGGACTTATTTATAAAGCCAGGGAAAGATCGTCAAATCTGTCAAGGTGTCTATCATCAGTAAAAACCGGAAAATATCAGGAAATTCGATGCCATCACAAAAACATCAGGAAATTCCGAGTGATCGAAGTATGTCTCAAGTGCATGTAGTTTAGTACGTGCAGAAGTAAAACATTTTATTTAATTCACCGAACATGATGCGTTCAAAAGTCAAACGAGTCAAAAAATTAGGAAATTTCATTTGAAATAGCAGGAAAATTTAGGTATATCCGAAATGAAACCTCAGTTACTACCGTGTATCAAACATCTAAAATGAAAGTTCATTTCAACTTCAGGTTTTGAATGCAGACGTGCACTTACATTAATAAAAATCAGCAGGGCCGGATTTAGGAGGTGGCCACATGGGCCGCGGCCCATGGCGGCAAATTTTGCAATTTTTTTAAATGTAGTTATAAAAAAAAATCGGATTCAGAAAAAAAAATTACAAACGAGAAAGGGCGACAAAATCTCCACCTCCTGAGAGTATAATTTCTAATTTTGTTGTTTTTGTCAATATAAGAGACAGCACCTTTAATTGGTCGAGTAAAGAGAGGAACCAAACACGCAATTTGGCCTGGAACGTCGCGGTGCAGAGAACAATTATGACGAGGACTTGAGATGAAAAGGAGAAGCCCTCGACGCGGCGGTCGGCGTTTAACACCTATTAGCGCCTACAAGACTGCATGAATACTTCACGCATTGCGTCAAACACAGTGCGTTCAGCAGCAGTCTGTGTGAAACGCATAGCGCTCACAAGACCGTAGGAATGATTCACGCATTGCGCTAAACACAGTGCGGTCAGTTTGTTCTTTCATACTTCTTTCGTTCATTTCTTAAAAATGGAAGGCCTCGTCCATCCAGCGATAGGTTTACGAAACTTAACTTTCGCGCAAAGTTCCGTGAACTTTTGCTAGTAATGTCTAACACGAGTGAACAAACGCGTCTTATACACTCCTCCCCGCTGCACGTTCACTTGATGGTTTTTATTGATGTTTCAAAACGAATAAGAATAAGGGGGTGGCAAAATACAGGCGGCCCATGGGCGGCAAGTAGGTAAATCCGGCCCTGAAAATCAGGTCAAATTTTCGCATTGAGGTAAAGGAATGTTTCTGACAGGACCAGGAAAATTTACCCCTCAGGAGAAAACAAATATGACTTATGAAAAATAAAGAATAAGAGTAGTTAAAATAATTATTTCTCCACCATGTGTATTGAATTCGGGACGAAATTTGCGATGTCGCAAGTTTCCATTAATTTTAAGTCACTTACCCCAAATCGAGTCATGCCTGTGAAAGTCAACCCAAAAAAAGGATGAGTGAAGCCTGAATATCAAAATCAAGAGCTGGCGCCAAGCTGGAAGAAAAAATTCAAGTTATGAGAAAGAAGACAGTGTACAGATACCAGCACAATA